TTTTTCGTGTCCTCTTTTCATGTCTCACGATGATTCATCCAGCTGATGTTTTTTATTTAACAGAGAGATTGACATTTCCTCTGAATATAATAGATGATTGTTGCATCATATATGCATGTTTATTACGCAAATATTTCGACAGTATGGCCGAGCGGTCTATGGCGACAGTTTTAAGCACTGTTCTCTTCGTAGGTTCATTAATTATTCTTTAATTCGGTACTACTGTTTTAAAATCAATTGTAAGTTATTTGGAAAAAGAGATTACGTAATATTCAATTTGATCAACGAATCCTACTGCTGTCATTTTCTACTGTTTTTTTTTGTTTTCTGATCACATTATGTATATAGAATTTCTTTTTGTATCGAATCGACAAACGATGTCAATTAGAATAGTGTTGATATATTTTGATTTTCTCGAAGGAACATTCAATGACAATGAGTTGAAATAGTTATTCATATAAATTGATAGACTACTATGTATCTACACACAATTTTGACGTCGGCAACAGTAAGAGTTTATTGTTCTGCATTATCAAAACTGCTTCCAACTTCTTATGGGAATCAAAACTTGTAAAAGATACTGATAAACAGGTTTTCAAAACGGTGTGGATGAATGTGGATATTATAGAATCACTTATTTACTCACAGCAACATTTACATCTACACTCATTCCTACACCCTCATTCTAATGTGTAGCGAATATAACTGGATTTTGCTTAGGGTCTTTTTATAGAAACACGCCATCAGTAACATTTGTTGACATTAACATTTGATATTTTCGATCATTTTTTTCTGCAATGTCTAGTCTTTTAATGATGTATAAAATTTTTACCATAAATTATGTATAGATCTAAGAGAAAAGAAATGAAACCGACAACAACTACAATCTTACAGTCATAATTTTTCATTTTGCTGAAGCTATGCTTTATAATCATCACCTGATTCAATAAAAGAATGCACTGTAGACATTGTTTTAATAGGATTAAATTAAGAAGATAATTGGCCTTTTATTTGTTAAAAAATTGAGAAAAATTTCCCAGGACAAAGATTCCAACTCTCAAATTCGTGAATTTTCGGCGGGAACTCGTCGAAAAATAGGCTGTTTCCTCTCGAAAAACTCAGGAAAATGGTAAGAACTTGGTAGCAGAAATCTGACGGCTAGATTTTCCCAATTCCGATTGGAAACAACTGTAACCTGGTATAGTCGACCATCAGATTTCTACTTCCAAGTTTCTACTATCTTCCCGAGTTTTTCGAGCGAAAACGGCTCATACTTCTTGGTCTGGATCAAAGTTTTATTCTAGCCCAAAAATAAACATGCCTATTGTTATCAAAAACCAAATAATCAGTAACATCGCACTATATTGACGGAACATATTTCTATTTCCAGCTAAATTATATAGAACTAATGATAGTGATAAGTTAGTTGTTTCGGATGTTTACAAATATTTATTCATTCAATCAAAAAGTGAAACAACATATTTAAAGGAGCATCAAACAAAGTGCGTAAAAATGACGTGTCATTCTTCATCATCATCTTCTAAAATAACTGATCAATCGAGTACTTGCTCATTAACAAAATCGATTCGATCACAACATGAGTTTAAAATATCCTCACAGAATAAATAAAAAAAAATATTTATAATATCAAATAACTATGTGGACAATGTCGCTACGAGCATCTTTGTCTCTATTACTCAGCATTAGATTATAGTTTCGATTTTTGACAAAAATCGTGAAATATATCGGTTAGAAGATGATTGTGAAGTTTATTATGTGCTTTCCTTTTGTGGAAATTAAAAGGAGATGTCATGTTTGTCCTGCTCGACAGGACGATGGTCGGTTGTAGACTAGGACAGAAAAAGTTCTCCTGCGTTCATCTCTAAGTAAAATATGTTACTAAACATTTTTTTAAACAAAAAAATCCAATCAGAATATCATTGCTGTAATCCATTGCTTATGTGAAAAATACATTCAATTAATTAACTATTCAGTTAAGTTGTATCCATTTTAATCTCTTAAAAGAAAATAATATTGAAATGCTCTTTTTATTTACTCGAATATGTCATCGTCAATATGACGATTGTTAAGATCTCTGATCATAGATAGGAAATCAATTGAGAAATACAAATATTTGTTTATTGAAAGATATAAATCATATTATTTTTTAATAAAAAACAACTCGAATGAGAATTAACACACTTCTTATTTATTAACGTGGTTAGTTAATGCCATCACGTTGATTCCTATAATAGGAGAATAACAAATCTCTGTCATATATCACGTTAGAATGTCAATTAAAATCAACTAAGGTTTTATTTAATAATTATTTACGATGTTCTGAAATTTCTTCAATAGATTTTTAATAGTGACTAACTATGAAGTTGAAAATGATATCTAAGAAACAATATTGAGCATGATTTATCTAAAAGTATAGAATATCATGAGATTGAATTGAGCTTATTTCATAGTGTTAACTTTGAAGGCGAATAGTATTCGATTCAATTATATTGAAGTATCAATCAATTTCTTAATTCTATTTTTTATGAAAAACATAAGTTTTTCAAATAAAATGTTAATGAATTTTTGATAAATCGCGTAAGGTCGATAAATTAGTCGTTCGCTTTGATCATTAACTATGACAATAATTAGTAAGACACTTCCATCAGCAACAGTATATCACTTTTAATTATAATATTTCAAGTCTGACAACATAATATAATCTTAATAAGCATAGATTAGACATCGACACAAATTTAAGTTATGGAATATTATTACGAAAAAAGTCGATAATTGAAAGCATTAAAAAGTTCTAGTGAATCTCCTCCTTCACAGAATAGAAGCACAGTGTAAAAGTTATAATTTTTTGGTCATGATAGAATCTCACTATGTCCAACATGAGCACAAAGCACACAAAGGTAAAAAATAGGATAGATTAGCTCATTGCTTGCCACTATTGAATTCTAGCTCTCTTAATGTGCGTAATTTCTTTTGCGACCTGAAAAACACGTGTGTATATATTAGCCACTCACAAATAGCTATCGAAGGTCGATAGAATAGCAATTAGACATTTAATCATATTATTCTATTAGATTTCTTTCTGTTATGAGCAATTCAGAAACGAGACGATATTAATTTCTATTAACTCAACAGAAATATGAGCAAATCCTTACCTGAAAAATGAAACATCTTACAAAAGTGAACAATGATCGGTTCAAATTACGTGAAAATTTATCAAATTCGATCATAAAAATTAGTGTGAAACAGTGAGAGACTTATTTTATATGAAAGTTTCTATGATTAATTCGTTCAACGAAATCATATTGATACATGTCTAATAAGAGTTTCTTTCTAACTTCTTCAAAACTCGTCAATTTCTTAGCTAAAATAGTATTAAATGTAACTATTCGTATTCATACTAGAGTTGACTAGGTATTGAAGACAATTAAGCATCTGAATATGAAAAATATTTTAAAAAACCCATTATTTTGTCTAATTAATAGTATAAGACTGAAGCAGAACTGACAATAAAAAGCTGATTCCATAAAAACTATTGTAGGTATTCAGAAACCGGTCATACAGGTTGAAAATTTCGATTTATCAATTGTTGAACACTTCTATATTTGTAAACTAAGGAAAATATAGCTACAATACGAAAATAATTCGTCGTAACCGGAGTCCACTTTCAAAATTTTGCCTGACACAATAAATTAGAAGTCTACTAGGCCTCTATGCTGCGAGAGCGGAGAAGTAGAAAAAGATTCATTGTGAAAATGGTACTCGAATTGAAAGAAGAAAAGATTCTGATTCCAAAATGAATACATTTAATTTTGAAGATAATTTCTATTAAATGACAATAACTGAATTCCTATTCGTTGTGATAATGTTTGGTTTTTTTTTGTTTTATCTCAACAAGAAAATAAGAATAGTAATATGATTAAAAATTAATTAAAGACATCATCATTATTTAATCACATCTGGAAATGAATACTAGAATAATTAATTTACGTATTTTGAGTTCTTTTTTTTTCTTTTTATGGAAAATTTTCTGACGTTAGAAAAGAAATAATGAATGAAAAACATTCTATTATTTAAAAACACTCTCGAATTCAATTCCGCAATAACTAAAAAACATTTGTCGAGACTAACGACCAACAATACAGGAAACAAAGTGACTATGTCGTCATTAAATATTTCATTAAATATAGCTCAAAAAAAATGTTGGTTCGATATTGTCATTTGACAATATTTGTACTTGGTACAATTGGTTCTTTAATAAGTATAATTCTTTTCTTTTACGACCTCATTAACGATCAAATTCATATTGCATTTGTGAGTAATTCAATCAGAAAACGATTATGGATAGTTAAGTTTTTTTTTTTTTTTAAGATTTATTGGTATCATCAATAAGTACACTAATCCTATTTTCAATAAGAACTCTATCACAAATCTATGCTCTTTACAATTCTCCAAATACATTTACTTAACAATTTCAAGTTTTTGCAAAACTCGATCTTATTTAAACCAAACAAGCAATGTGTCATGCCGTTAACTTTTAGTTAAGGGTTGCGTAGATCGTTTTATTTCCTCTTCAAGTTACGCTCATATTCGTCACTTATCTTATGTAACTATGGCTCGAACAATATCCATTATTATTTCGATTTGGTTGATATTACCACTTCTTATGCTTATTTATAGTGATATTCAGCCTCCAGGCAATATACTTTGTTTAGTAACTGAGAAGAATGTTGAATTTATCTTGGGTTTTATAGGTTTACTATGAATGGTGCATTACTAACTATAATTGCTTTCTTATGCAGTTTATTTATATGGAGAAATTGTCAACCATGAAAAAAAACGTCAAATAATAAATCTTGATAATGAAGTAGGAAGACGAAAAAAAATGAGGAGATCAACAAATATTATTTATGTTACTAATACAAGTAGCAATCTTTACTGTATCGAAAATTCCATTCATGTCATTTCATATTTATAAGACAATGACACAATATGAAACTGACAAATCAACAGATTGTAAAGCTGTTGAAGCACTTTTGAAAACCTTAACTGAATTACTTATTTGTTTGATTATGATGCCATTTAATTCTAATACATTAGTGTCATGTACATTTAGAAACGAATTAGTTCAATTATTCAGCTGTATTATTATTTGTGGTCGTCAAAAAAACTGTCTTCGAATTACTCCATTGAATGTTGCTACAATTAAAAGTGCAACACTACCAATGACAATAAAACGAAAACCTACGTCGTCAATACCTCAAGGATTTGAAACAAGTATCACAATAAGAAAAATCGTTTATTTTCTTTTGACACTAATCCCACTAATTTATTTACGATCAAAATACATTATAACATTAATTTTTACCATAATGATCAAGGAATTTCGAGATGTCAGATTAGTATTGGTGTTCAAATGAACTTTAATGCTTTGATGTTATTTGCAGTAGAATTAATTAATGCCTACGTTTGACCATTAAATTGGCGTTACTCTTAATCCTAATACATATGCTACATGCGACTAGACCTCTCCAAAGTCCATATTTTGTGATGCAATGATCTTGAGAATGGCACGTCGACTGATGTTTGCTGAAACGCCACTAGAGATGTTGAAATCTCTATATGGTACAAATGTCGTTTGATTTTCGTTATGATGCCTCGTTCGCTCGAAATAAAATCCAGATATTATAAATGATCTATAGATTTTGTTTTCATTATATCGATATAATTTATGTGTTCCATTATGATTGAAATGCGGCACAGTACGCATAGTTACAGCGCAGAATGGCCACCACATGCAATTGCGACGAAGTCGTTAAAAAAGAGGTGACATGGGTTAAGAGATTGAATTTCATTTCCACTTAAATTTGCAATATTTATTTTGCGTTTGCTTGATGAAGGGTGTGAGTGTGGGTGAGGAGTGCTGGTATAGATATAGGTCGGTGTGGATGTACGTATAGATGTGGGTGTGGGTGTGCGTGCTGGTGGATGTGGATGTAGGTATAGATGTGGGTGTGGGTGTGGGTGTGCGTGCTGGTGGATGTGGATGTGCGTATAGGTGTGGGTGTAGATGTGTGGGTGTGTGTGGGTGTGGGTGTGGATGTGGATGAGGGGTGTGGGTGTGGATGAGGTTCGTCCTCTCTTCATTCATACCCACACCCATCCACACCTTCACGAACCCGCATTCAAACGCATCCACACCCTCTATCTTACGATTCTTTCAACTCAATGAGCAATACTTCGATCTGAAAATGGACAGGATGAGTTGAGAAATAGAAAGCCTTCATTCACCTACCAATCATCCTCATAGGTTCACAAGAAATTAAAGTTATCCTGGTCTAGCTTTTTTTACAAAACTATGATAACCCTATAATTCCTTTAATCCCTTTACTTCCTTTAATCCCTTTACTTCCTTTAATCCCTTTATTCTCTTTAATACCTTTAATACTTTTAATCCCTTTAGTTCGTTTAATCCCTTTAGTCCTTTCAATACCTTTAGACCCTTTAATCCCTTCAGTCCCTTTAATCCCTTTAGTCCTTTTAATCCCTTTAGCCCTTTTAATCCCTTTAGACCCTTTAATCCTTTTACTCCCTTTGGCACCACTAATCCTTTTAGTTTCTTTAGTCCCTTTAATCCTTTTAATACCTTTAGATCCTTTAATCCCTTTAGTCCCTTTAATCCCTTTAGTTTCTTCAATACCTTAAGTCCCTTTGGTCTTTTTAATCCCTTTAATACCTTTAGTCCCTTTAGGGATGGGATGGATGTGGGTGTGAGGTTCCTATCTTTAACCACAACCACACCCGTTGACACTCACACCCACTCCCACACCTCACAGTCCGCCCACACTCACACCCATACCCACCCAAACCCACACACCCACTCCTACATCCACACCTCACAGCTCGTCCACACTCACACCCATACCTATCCAAACCCACACAAACACTCCTATTCCTACACCCACCCACACCCTTTATTACTGTTATAGATATTATCTCCCTGTTGGGTGTTATTTCCCAATGTTGTCTAGGTAGTATCCTTTATCATCTCAGACTCCAGTTTACCCACAATGATCTGCTAATTCAACAAGTAACGTTCATCGACAGTCAATTCACCTGGCCCTAGGCTGACGCCATAACGACATACATGTGTTAGAAAGTTATGAGATTAAGATTAAAAAGTTAATACTCAAATTCTTTTGAGTACAAAAAAGCGCTAATAAAATTAGCGCTGTTTATACTCAAAAAAAATCATATTTAAAATAATATTGTTTTCATACATCATAAAATGGCGTATGTGTTCTGGTTCACTTGTCAAAATTTTATTATACGTCATATGCTGATTAGTAATATGGGTGCTATATGGTCTTCTGTACCATATTTACCGAAATGGTCGCTGATGCCATAGGTACGTGGTCGTTGTCTCAAAAAAAATAGTCATTTGTGCCAAAAAATGGTCATTTGTGCCTAAAAAATGGTCATTTGCGCCATGTTACCGACGAAAACGATATGCGTGCAGACAAATCAATTCTCGTTTCTAGACCCTATCTTTACAGTCTAGGGAACAACATACCCTAATACAACTGGAAGTAGTAATTATGAAGTCGCACAAGCCCTCACATAAACATAGCTACATATATGAAGGAAGCAACCATTAATAGCGTGACTCGAATGAAAAAGTACTAAAGGGATTAAAGGGATTAAAGGGGCTAAAGGGGCTAAAGGGACTAAAGGGATTAAAGGGATTAAAGGGAATAAAGGGACTAAAGGGATTAAAGGAACCAAAGGGACCAAAGGGACTAAAGGGATCGAAGGGACTAAAGGCATTAAAGGGGTTAAAGGGGCCAAAAGGACTAAAGGGGCTTAAGATATTAAAGGGACTAAAGGTATTAAAGGCATCAAAGGGAGTAAACGGACTAAATGGAGTAAAGGGAGTAAACGGACTAAAGGGATTAAAGGGTTATCATAGTTTTATAAAAATTTAGACCGGCATAACTTTAATTTCTTGTGGACCCCTCATCATTCTAAGACATTCACCTTCTTGCCACTTTCACCTACCATTACATTCACTGCACCACTTTCCTGGAATCGTGAATTTCATGCTTTAAGGGCTATTTAAAAAAACAGTCAACAGAACGAGAACGAGCAACGATCAAAATGAAATGTTATTTTACGTCCAATAATAAACAGAGATGCCGTAGATTTCTCCAGCATTGATTTTTTCTTTCATTTTGTTTCATTATGATGCATTAGGCGTAAAAGAAAACAATAAAAAATTTCACTGACTGTCAGTAATCTCAGACTACACGTATACTTCACCATAAAATTAAACTTCTTCTCGTCATA